CACAGGGAGAGAAGTTAAGGGAAGGGCATTGCCCCGTCTTAGGCCTGAGTCACCTTGGCTGAGTCCTGACCCGGGGGCTTGGACCCAGGAGCTCCAGCCTGGAGCTGGCAATCCTTGTGTGAAAAAATATGCTTTTTCCCATTAGACCCCAAGCCCCTGGAAGGCAGCGACCTGAGAGGTTCCTCTCTTGAGCCCCAGAACTCAGCATCATGCTGGCCCCATAGCCACTCTGTGAATTGAAATACTTTTTCCAACTTTATTGAGAGATTATTGACAAATAACATGAAAGTTTAAGGTATACGATGTGATGTCTTGATTCATGTGTATATTTTGCTAAATGATTACCAAGTAAGGTTAGTTCACACCACCAACCTCTCACATAATTACTATTTTTGCGTGTGTGGTTGTAACATTTAAGATCTACTCTCTTAACTACTTACAATTATACAATATGGTATTGTTTCTTATAGTCACCGTGCTGTCCATTAGCTCCCAGAACTGATTCTTCTTACAGCTGGAAGTTTGTGCCCTTAGACCAGCACCTCCTCCTTTCCCCCAGCCCACTACCCCTGGCACCATTCTACACTCTTGAAATGTCCCTTTTTTTAAAAAAAAAAAGATTTATTTATTTATTCATTTGAGAGAGAGAGAGAGAGAGAGCAAGAGTGGGGGGAGGGGCAGAGGGAGACAGAATCTCAAGCAGACTCCCCGCTGAGCAGGGAGCTGGACACGGGCTCGATCCCACGACCCTGAGACCATGACCTGAGCTGAAACCAAGAGTCGAACCCTCAACCGACAAAGCCACGCAGGCGCCCCCCACCCCTGCCTCTTAAAGTGTTCTTTAATTTTTTTTTAAAGTAAATTCTACGCCTAATGTGGGACTCAAACTCATGACCCCGAGATCAAGAGTCGCGTGCCGCATACACTGAGCCAGCCAGGTGGCCCTTGACATGTTTTTAACAGGCACCTTCAAGAGGGAGAGCCTGTTAAAAACATGTCAAGGGCCTCTCTGACATCCTTGCCAGGGAAGGGTCCGCAGTGGATGGGCTGGGGGAGGAAGGGAGGCTCAGAGAGATTGAGAGAACTTGCTGAAGGCCACAGCACCGGGGAGAGGGGAGCAGATTTCCTTGCAAGTCTGATTCCACCCTCCGGCTCCCGACCACTGCGCCAGACGGCCTCTCTGGGGCCGGGTTGAAATCTTCTCATCGGAGGGTTCAGTTGCCCACAGAAAGCCCCAGCTGACTGAGGTCACATCCATGTGGCTTGATGGCAGTACGGCTCACCCATGCTTGTGGGTGCAGCGTGTGTCCGAGGCTCACGGGTATGACAGACGCACAGTGACGCCACACTCTGCCCATGGACACGGACCACAACAGGCAGGAGAGGAGGGTGGATGGCCTGGCCCCACAGAGGAGCCAGGGCCTCCGGCAGCCCGGAAGAACGGAGCGCTCAGCTCCGGAGGGAGAGACGGGTCTGGGCTGGAGATGGGGTCAGAGGATGAGGGGACAGTGGCAGGGAGCCTGGCTGGGGCAGGATAACCTGGCTCCAGGCCCAGCTCGGTGCCTCACTAGCTGTGTGACCGTGGGGAAGCCACTATGCTTTTCTGAGCCTCAGTCTCCTCCTCTGCAAATTGTGGGTATTAACCCCCATTCCGCATTGTTGTTGAGAGGACCCAATGAGGTGACACGGGTCAGCAGTTCAGTGCACGGTGACAAGAACCCAGTGACACGGGTGACGCTCCCGGCGCTGACCACCTGCCAGATGCCACACTGAGCAGTAGACACGAGTTCACACATCTGCTTCCCCCAACAGCCCTCGGGGCACGTTACCCTCAGGCTCATTTTACAGATGAGGAAACTGAGTCACGGAGCACTCTGACTGGCCCTCCACTGGGCTCTAGCAGTTAACCTCACTAATCTCCGGGGAGCATTTCCCTGGAGCCGGGCGCTGTGCCAGTGAAGAGCCTGAGCTGCCAGGTTCAAGTCTGGCCCAGCACTGCCTTGCTGCATGACTGTTGAGCAGGTTACTGAACAGCTCCAAGCCTCAGTTTCCCCATCTATAAACTGGGGATGTTAGTAGTCCCCAGCTAATGGGGCAATTGTGAGAATTCCCTGTTACACCTATGTTGATAGGTATAAAGAGCCTAGAAAAGTGCTGGGCTCAGAGTAAGGGCTCAGTCAGTGTTAGGTTTGTGGCTTTATCACTGTTACTATGATACATGTATGCACAGCCCTGAAAGTCCTTCAAGTGACTTCGTGGAGCCTGAGAAATGTCACCTCCCGTCCCCAGGCATCTGGTGAGAATGTATTGCTTTGTGCTGCCACTTACTCTCTGTATAGCCTCAGGCGAGACACTTTACTCCATACTCGGCTTCCCTATCTGCAAAATGGGCTGAAGGAGGTCTGCTTTTGAGGCTGTGGTGGGGTTTAAATGGGTTAATGCATGTCCAGAGCATAGCATGGTGCCCAGCATGTAGTAGGTGCTCAATAAACAATGGTTAGCAGGGCCCCTTCGCTCACATTGGGGTCTCTTGATTCTCTGGGAGGCAGTAAGGAAGACAGAGTCCCCCTGTTTGACTGAGGAGAGAACTGCAGGGAGCAGGGGCCTGATCTTCCCGAGAGGCAGGGCCAGGAGCCAAGCTAAGAGCCAGGCAGCACACCCTCAGGTGCTGAAGAAACAGAGGCTTGTCAGGGACACTGGGACCAAGGTCCAAGTCCTTCTGGCTGGTGCTGCCACCCTGTCTAGGGTGTCTTGCGCCAATTTCCCACCAGTACTAGGGGTAGTAGAGGGAAGCCGAACTTGCTCAGGCTCATGCTGGCCTCTGGGCTGATCCAACTCCAGGCCGAGGGCTGCCAAAGAAGGACAAGCAGGGAGCGTTCGAGCTGCAAGACCTCAGGGATCTTGCAGCCTGCCCTTGGTGCAGAGGACAAAGCCAGGTCCAGAGATGGGGGACAGCTTGCCCAAGGTTACACAGTCAGTAAGCAGCAAGCCAGGGAGCAGAGCTTGGGTCTTCTAAGCAACAGAGTGTTCCCTCCACCCTGAGGCTGAAGGGACAGAAACAGAGCAGGGAACAGGTGAGTCATTGCCAGGCTTCAAGTCCCGATGAGCTCCTACCCAGCCCTGCTCCATGCTCACATCCATACAAAGCACCTGGGAAGCAAGATTTGGATGAGGAGGAAAAGGGTCCGTCTCAACCTTCAGACATCCCTGTGTGGGCCAAGACAGGGCATCTGTTTGTCACAGTCTTGCCCGGGAGCCAAGAGAGACTGCAGGAGGTGCTCCTGTCACCCTGGTGAGTCCTCAGCCGCTCCTGAGACCATGAAAACCTCAGGCCCAGAGACTCAAGGAGGCTTACTCCAGTCACACCGTGGGGAGGGACTGCATCAGGAGTGTACCCCGGCCGCCTCCAACTCATGGGACGAGCCCTGCCCCAGCAGATCTGGGTTCAAATCCCAGCTCCCCTACTGAGGATGTGGAGGCTGTGTGATCTCAGGAGGCCCCTTGCCCCTCTGAGCTTTAGGGTCTCCACCTGTCGGTGGGGCTGATGCTGCACCCTCACCAACGGTCAGCTCAGGAAACAGGTGCAAAGGGCCCCGGCCTGTGGGTGATGCATAGTAGGTGCTTTGCATAAGTTCACTTGAACTTATGCAAAGCATAAGTTCTGGCCACTTGAAAAGGAGGCCAGAAACATAGGCCCGGGTGAAATATGAAATAAGGAATCAAGAAAAAGGCTGTGTGTCATGAACTCACCGTGCAATCTTGGGCAGCTCACATCCCCTCCCTGGACCTCAGCTTCCACATCAGTAAAGTGAAGGGATGGGACTAAATTATGTCTAAGAGTCCTCCTAGCACTATACAGGCCGCCCCTGACTTCCTGTCCCCTTCCTTTAACTAGCAGCACTAGGGGGAGAGGGGGAGGGAGGGATTTTGTTGAGGTAGAATTCCTATACGATTAACCATTTTAATGTGTACGATTCAGTGGCATTTAATGCATTCACAGTGCTGTATGACCACCACTTCTATCTAAGCCCAGAACATTCTCCGTTCCTCCCTACCCTCAGCCCTGGCAACCACCAACTGCTTGCTGTCTGTGGATTTACCTATTCTGAATATTTCATACAAATGGAGTCCTAAAATATATGACCTCTGTGTCTGTCTTTCACTTTGCATGTTTTTGAAGTTCATCTACATTGTAGCACATGTCAGTACTTGATTTACTTTTATGGCTAAATAAGATTCTATGGTATGTGTACACCCTAATTTGTGTACCCATTCATCCATTGATGAACACCTTAGCCGTTCCCACCTTTTGGCTATTGTGAATAGAGCTGCTATAAACATTCCTGTACAAGTATTTGTTTGAGTACCTGTTTTCAGTCGTTGGGGATATAAAATTAGGAGTGCAAATGCTGGGTCATGTGGTAATTCTATGTTTAACTCTTGAAGGAACTGCCAAACTGTTTTCCATAGGAGCTATGGATTTATTTTTATAAATTTATTTTTGGCGGTCATTTTTATTCAGTGCTAGATCCCTGGTGCGTAGTAGGCACTTGGTGCACGTTTGTGGAAGGAACAGGGGAGTCTCCCACCCTCTCTGCTCCACTGTGCCACAGTCCCATCATCATGCCTTGGGTCTGTAAGTTCCCTAGTCCAGGAGGCTGTAAGCTCCAAGAGAGAATGAACACCTTTTGTCCAGCTGCTTTGGGCCAGGCCAGAGAAGGGCCCAGTGCATCTATCTCTCACTTGGTGTGGCTTGAGCTCCCTGGGGACGGCCAGCATTGTCTGTGTCTGAAATCTGCAGGTGTTCATGAGAGCAGCACCCACGGTCCTCCACAAGTCCCTCTGCCCCCCGTCAGGCCCTAGGCAGGCTGTGTGGCCTCAGCCAGATTCCTGCCCCTCTCTGATTCTCCACTCTGTCCGTCTGAGTGCCTCTAAAGTGGGGCCAGAGGCTGCACCCTCTCCTGCTGCCCCTGATCCCTGACCTCTGACCTCTCTTCCAGCTCCCTCAGCCGTGTCCATCATGCACCAGGTGAGCCGCACTGTGGACAGCATCACCCTGTCGTGGTCCCAGCCTGACCAGCCCAACGGTGTCATCCTGGACTATGAGCTGCAGTACTATGAGAAGGTACCTGTGCTCCTGGGCGCACTCCCCACCCCCACCTCCCTGGGGCCTGGGGTTCTACCATCCCACGAGACTGGACCCCCCGGTGCCACAGAGAGAGCACTGGCCTCCAAGTCAGGCTGCCGGGCTCAATTCTGACTCTGGTCCTCCCCAGCTGTGGGACCTCAGGCAGGTGTCTTGACCTCTCTGAGTCGTGCTTTTCTGGGCTGGGGCACCGGGCCAGCAATCTCAGTAAAAGGCAGTGGTCACGACCCTTTCCTCACCAAGACCCTTCCTCTTGACTTCAGTGGGCCTGAGGTTCTGAAGAACTGGTTTCCCGAAAAGCGTCACCCATTCTGAAGCCAAGATTTAAAACTGCTCAAGAGAGCTTCTCTCCAGGGTGAGAGTAGAGCTCCCTCCCCGTGTTGTTCTGATTCCAGCTAAAACATTTGTTTTCATTTGCCTGGATGCCATTTGTATAGGGAGAGAGCTATTTCTCTTTGAGCTTTTAAAATCCGACCCTTGTTACCCGCTCAGGGCCCTCTAGGACCCGGGGGCCAGGGGTTGGAAGCCACTGGTGTTGTAGAGGGACACTGGACTAGGAGTGGGAAGCCATAGGTTCAGATCCCAGCTCCGTCCAGAACCTGCCGTGTGACCTTGGGCAGGCATCTTACCTCTCTGAGCCTCAGTTTCCTCCTGTGTCGAGTCCAAAGGAGATTGGCTGTCTTGACTGGGGGCTGCACAGGGACAGGGACAGTGCCCGGCATGGCTCCCGGCCCTAGCGGAGGGTGCTTTCCCTTCCTCCCGTCTGCCCTGCCTGCTGCATGGTGGGCAAGAGCTACACCTGTGAGGCCAGGTGAGGTCTGTACGCTTGAACGTGGGGCCTGCTCCGGGTGGGGGCCAGGGGTGGATAGAGCTGCTCGACAGCAGAGGTCCAGGAAACCTCTTTGTGACTGGAGACTTTTCTTCCCTGCGTCCTGAGGCACCAAAGAGCCACAGAGGCTGCAAGGGCCCCTGGGAAAAGTGTCATGGGGATTGCATTCAGACTAAGGTGTGAATGACTATAGGAATTGCTTTGGTTGAGGGTTGGGAACTGGAAATGGATAAGAAGGCTCTCCCCCACGGCTGAGAGGAAGAGAGATAGAAGCAGTTCCAGCCACCCTGGCTGGAGCCCTGCCTCCTGAGGCCCAGCCCCCCGCCCCCACGCTGTTAACTGCCGGCTCAGCCCAACTCCGGTGAGTCTCAGGGGGCTGCAAACTCCTATCCAGCCTCACCCAGCTGGTTTATGATTGCTGGTGTCCTTGCTCGTCCCCTGCTCTAGGCAGCGCATTCCGAGAGGCCAGGGACCACATCTGTCCCATTCACTGTCTTCTCCCCAGCACCCTGGGCCCAGCACCAAAGAGACACTTGATAATATTGGTTGAAAGAATAATTGAATGGATCCCTTCCCAGGGCCTGTACCTCCAGGGAGGAGACCTTGCCTTAACGTCTGCTGTTTCCCCAGCCTGGAACACAGTAGGTGCTCAGGAAGTGCTGCTGGACGTCCCGAGCTGAGGAGGATGTGAGGGAAGCAGGGCCTGGAAGGAGCCAGGCGTCCTGTAGCCTGAGCCAGACCAGCTGTTCCTAGGCCCAGGAAGCCCTGGGCCCTGCAGGAACCAGCACTTCCACCCCCCCTGGCGGGGACAGCTTAGCAACTCAGAATTCAAAAAAGAAAAAAACTAATTAAGAAGCTTTATGATTAAACGAAACCGAAACTGTTTGTCCCCGAAGACTAGAGCGGAAATGAGGAATCCCGGCGCGGGTCCTGCCTCCGACCCATTTCCTACCAAGACGGGAGGGGCTGGGGAGGCTGCTGGAGGCGCGAACCAGGAGGCCGCTCTGCCCTACTTTCTGCTGCGGCCCGGCACCCCCAGGCCTCCGACGCCATGGCAGGACCAGCAGGCCACCAGCTGCAGCAGCCGCGGCCACCACCTGCTCACATGTCATGAGCGCACGCCGCCTCCAATGTGTCGCTCCTCCTCATAGCAGTGCCATTCACCCCACTGGATGGGAGGGGAAACTGAGGCAGGGAGAAGTTGTGCAACTTGTCCAAGAGCACCCAGCTGCTAAGTGGTGGAGCACGGATTTGGGCCTATGCCCTCGCTCTTCACCTGGCTCTCCTGTCTTCCGGTTTTCTCTCGGAGATGCTTCTGGGATGACCGTTTAAAGGTGGACAGGACCAGGCTCTGAAGGAGGAGCTTAAGTACAAATGGCGAGAGAGGGACAGGCCTGCGGTGGTGCGACTGTGGTGAGACATGGCCCTACTCGGTCAGCCCCTCCTCCCAGGGCCCGGGGTGCAGTGAGAGGCAGCTTGGCATCTGCCAGTGGGAGATGGACACCAGTTCATTCAATATTCATTGTCACCAACTTTGGGCTGGGCCCTGGGCTTGGTACTGGGAATCCTGTGATTAGCCAGACATGCCCAGAGGCCTCAGGGCCTTCACAGTCCAGGGGAAGTGACAGATCCAGACATAAATAGCCATGAGACCAGTTGTGACACAGTCACAGAAGGGCCAGCAAAGGTCCTTAGGGGCACCAAGGAGGGACCCATGATCTGGGTATAAGTGAGGGGAAATCTTCATTCCAGGGACATTTGAGCTGAGCCTTGAAAGATGCTAGGAGTTCACCAGACAGACAAGGGTTGAGAGCAGTCATTCCAGACAGCAGGAACAGCACATGCAAAGGCCCTGGGGCAGGAGAAGGCAAGTGTGGAGGAGCAATATGAACAAAAGCGAGATTAGTAGGGAAGGAGTTGGAGAGGGAGACAGGGCTGGGTTGTGCTGGGCCTTCCACGCCTTTGGAGTCTGGATTCAATTTAAAGTACTATGGGAAGCCGTTGGAAGGTTCTGGAATGATGTGATCTGACTCAGATTATGTTAAAGATCCCTTATAGCTTACTGTGTGGAGAACAGACTAGAAGGGGTCCTGGGGACACAGACCCTTTAGAGGGCTCTCACGGGACACCAAGTGAGAAATGATGGTGGCTTGGCGTAGGGGCTGGCCGCAGAGATGGTGAGAAGCCCACAGATTCAGACGGTGTTTTGAAATTCAGGGGACCAGGGAAGTGTGAAGGACAACTCCCAATGGATGGTGGTGCCTTTGCCTGGGGCCATTGTGGGTTTGTGCCATGGAGGTACAGGTGTGGTGCTTGCCAGGGGTGGAAAGGTATAGCCAGGAACAGAACAAGAGGGTGTGCAGAGATAAAACGGAAATGGATGGACGGAATCAGGAGGATGGCGGATCTAAGGAGAGAAAGAAAAACAGTTGATGGCAAGTGTCAGAGGAGACGGCTGTGCAGGGGGTAGGAGCAGTCTCGGTCCCCAGCCTCTAGGGCTTCCATCACGGAGGGACAGACAGAATGCGGGATGGATTTCTGACAAGTCCACAGCCGGCTCTTCCCTAACACTTGGGAATCCTCCCAGCGCCTGCCGTTGATTTCTTTAATGAAGGCTGCAGATCTTCCCAGGTAGGGAAGTTAGGCAGCGAGCTCTGCGGTCCCGTGTGGGCCCTGCCCCCACCATCTTTCCCACTCCTCCTTTCCTTCTTTAGAAAGGGCTCTTTTTGGAGCGGGCTCTCCGTTTGGCCTTTCCCCCGCTCCACTGGGGATTTCCCAGCCTGCCTGGAGCCCGGAGCTAAAAACCACTTTGCTGGAAGGCTTCTGGATGCCGCTGACGAATGGTGTTGGCCAGACCCGCGCTGGCTATTTCCATCGGCTCCAGCGTCCTGGGGGAGGTGGCCTCCTTTGGTAGCTGCCCAGAGCAGGTTCATTCTCCCTTTGGCTCCCCCAGCACTCCAGGAGAAGATTCATTTGTGGGACCACCTATGGCAGATGGGCCCCTGTAGGCCTCATCGATTTGTGTTTATTCAACAGAAATTTCTACTTGGCAGAGCAGAGGGCAAAGAAGGCTGGGCGCAGTGGGGATGAGCTATGAAAATCCAGGCTTCATTGGTTGTTGTCCAGGGTACGTGGAGCAGTGTGGACGGTTGTCCAGTATGGACAAGGAGAGGTTTGTTCTGACACTCGCTCACTTTTGTATTCATTCATCCATTTCATGAACATCGGTGAAAGCTTACCCTGTCATGGTGTTGACAACGAGGGCGATAGCCAATATTTATTAAGTTCTTATGTGGAGACTATGCTAAAAGCTTTACCCATTTTTTCCCTATTGAATCTCCACACCCATTCTGTGTGGCATATGGTGATGTTATCCCACTTTAAAGATGAGAAGACCGAGGCTCATAGGACTTAAGAAATGCACCCACTGCTCACTGGCCGGTAGTCTCTGGGTAAGGATTCAAACTGAGGACTAGTGGATTTTTTTTTTTTAAGACTTTATTTATCTAAAAAAAAAAAGATTTTATTTTTCTATTTATTTATTTATTTAGAGAGCACGAGTGAGTGCGGGGGGGTGGAGAGGCAGAGGGAGAGGAAGAGAGAGAATCTCTAGCAGAGTCCACGCTGAGCGCAGAGCCCAATGTGGGGCTCGATCTCACAACCCTGAGATCTTGACCTGAGCTGAAATCAAGAGTCCGACGCTTCATCGACTGAGCCACCGGGTGCCCCAGGACTAGTGGATTTCATACTAAATTTCTTTCCCTAACCCATCAATGCTCAGTCCTTATTCAGATACAGGTGCTTTAGCCACGGGGGAGGAGAGAAGGGGACTGATGTCTCTAGAGCAGTTCCTTTGTGCCAGACACTACTTGACCACAACAACCCTGAGAGGTTGGCATTTATTGTTCCTTTTCTGGAGTAGAAAACAGAAGCCCAGGGGAGTGAAGGGTCTTTCCCAAGGTCACAATGCAAGTAAGGGGAAGAATCAGCATTTGAAATGACTTCCAATCCCCCGCTCTGTCCTGTTCCCTGCTTTAGAAAAGCGATCCACGAGGTTCGTTCCTCATTCTCCTGAGGCACCTATGCCCCTGGCAGTTACCTCCCATCTCCATCCTATAATCAGGAACTTAAAACTTCCACCCTCTCTAAGTGGACACCCATCCACGCTGTCTGCAGACTCCATCCCCTTTTCAAACCCCAGCAGATTCCATGTTGGCTGGCGGCACCTAGAGGACAGTCTTGGTACTGCAACCTGCGTTCGTAGATTTTGTTTTTTGTTTTTTGTTTTTTGTTTTAATAGTCTACAATGTTCATTCATTTGTTCCTGGCAGTAGTTAGTGAACACCTACTGTGTGCTGAGTCTGCGGTCCCGGAGTTGAATGAGACAAGGTCTCTGCCTTCGGGAAGCCCATAGTCCTTAGAGAAAACACATGCATATCAGAACAGGTGGGAGAGGAGACAATGGACCTGCAACTTTTTCTGGGACATCTGAGAAGTTTCCCCAGCAAAGGTGGTACTTGTACTAAGTCTTGATGAACAGGCAGATGGGAAAAGGGTATTTCAGCTAGGGGAAACAACACTTGCCAAGGCTCAGAGTGTCCAGGGAAGGTAAGGTTGCCAAATAAAATATAGGACACCAGTTACATTTAAATTTTTTAAAATAATTTTTTAGTGTAATTGTGTTTTAAATATTACATGGGGAAAACTTATACAAAAAAATTATTCATTGTTTATCTGAAATTCAGATTTAACTGAGCATCCTGCATTTTTATTTGCTAAATCTGGCAGCCTAACCAAGAAAGGGAGGGGAAGCCTTTGGGTATAACTACAGCCTGGAGGACACTGGGGATGTGGCAGGCAAGACTGGCAAAGGGTGAGTCATGAAGGGTCTGGAAAGCCAGGCTGAGGAGTACAGCCTTTACCATGTGGGCATTGGGGCAGGTCTCTGTGTGCAGGTCTCTGTGCTTACTACAGGGGAATAAAACACAGCCACTCCCCTCAGGAGTTTACGGTCAAGGTTGTGCGATCGGCCTGTGCCCAGGATGAGGGGACATAGCAGAAACCCCCTCCTATGGCATCCAGGCAAGTGCTCCAGGGCTCAGAGGAAGGGAGGCACATCTGGCTGAGAGGTCAAGCAGGCTTCCTAGTGGAGGAGGCAGATGAGCTGGCTCAAGAAAAGAGACTTCCTATGTACTGCTGCTCCCTGGGAGGTGTGAGGGGGTGGGAAGGAGGCACCCACAAGTCAGCCCCTGCTCTAGCCCCCCATATCCCAAGTTCTTTCTCACCTCCTTGCCTTCACACCTGGTGCTCCTTGCCAAACATGCCCTCCCTTTTTTTGACCTGGGTGACTTCTGTTTGTTCTTCAAAATTCCATTGCATAACCCCACTCTGCAGAGAGCGTTGCCTGACTTCACCTGATGGCCCCACTCAGGCGAGGTCACATGCCCACAGCACACTGTGTCAGCGCTTTATTCATATTAATGCATTTATCCTCTAAACAACCCTCTGAAGTGGCTGTGACCATTATTATCCCCATTTTACAGATGATGAAAAGGAGGCAAAGAGAGGTTAAGAAACTTGCCCAAGGTCACAAAGATAATAAGTAGAAGAGTCAGGACTTGAACCCAGGAAGTCGGGCTCCAATTTGTGATCTTAACCTCTAGGCTATGATGCCCGTAATGACATTGCACTCACCAAATTTGTTTCGAGGGAGTTTTCAAGGGCTCTGTGCACCACACATGCACGTGACCGGCGTGCACAATCAGGTGTGCATTTTTCTGCACAGAGGTTCATAGCTTTCGTCAGCTTCTCAGAGGCGTTCTCGATCTTCCTCCAAGGGCTGAAGTCTCCACACTGTTTGTGTTTCTGAACTGAGCTCTCTGAATCCAGCGCCCGTGCCTGAGTCCCTCAGAGTCCCCAGGGCCTAGTGCAAAGAGGGTGTTTGGGGACGGTTTGGGGGGTAGCTGACCGCTGTCTGCACGAGCATCATATAAACTGGCAGACGCCTGCATCCAACTCAGCCACAGCTCTGTTGCCACTGCAGCAGCTCAGCTTTGTCTTGTCCCGTACTCCTTGGGTCACCCTGGGCAGTCCTCAGGTCAGAATTGGCATTCTGCAGCTCTCAAAGGAGGGAACATTAGGTCCTGGGTACTCAAGCCTTGGACATTAGAGGTAGCTCCATGTAGGAGCCTGGTTTTGAGTGCCAAAGCAGCCACAAGCTCAAACATGACCTTGAGCATCATTTTCCCCGTCTGGGCCTTAATTCTTGCCTCACTCAAGTGTACTGTGGCTGAACAGGGGTCCTTCCACGTAACCTATCAAGGCATGGGGCAGGGAGGAGGATGCAGAAGTGGGTAAGGTAGGCCCTCTTCCTGCTGTCTCCAAGAATTCACAGCCTAGACCTCGGGGTCTAGGCCACTCAGCATCTGCGCATTAATCAGCTATCACTGAGGATGATGCTGCAAAATAAACAGTCCCCAAAATACAATGGCTTCTAAGTGCCCATATTCTTGCTCCTTGGTTGGAGTCTGTGGGTCAACTGAGGTAGCCCTGTTTCAGCCTAGGAGTTACGTCAAGATCTTCCCTACACGTTTCTCATTCTGGAACCAGCTGCTACCCAGGTTCAGCCCCATCATGGCCTAAGGCAGGAGCACAAGAGGCCAAGCCAACTCAACAAGCACATGTAAAGCCTCCACTTGCATCCTGTCCTCTAGAATGTTCCAAGGACCAAAGCAAGACACATGGATAAATTTGGCATCCACAAGGCAGAGAAATATACTCTGCCTTCTTTTGTGGGAAGTCACATGCAAAAAGTATGGGTGTGTAATTCTGTTACAGGGAGGGAGTGAAGAATTGGGAACCACAGATGTTTCTCTTAGTGGCCAAACCCACCCTAAGTGGCGGGAGTGGGCTCTGGGCCCGCTGTGGGCGACCACCTTGCTAATGGTCTTCTCTGTTCCTCGGCAGGAGCTCAGTGAGTACAACGCCACGGCCCTAAAAAGCCCCACCAACACGGTCACTGTGCAGGGCCTCAAAGCCGGCGCCATCTATGTCTTCCAGGTGCGGGCACGCACCGTGGCGGGCTACGGGCGCTACAGCGGCAAGATGTACTTCCAGACCATGACAGAAGGTGAGCAGCATCCAGAGGGCAAGAGGAGGCCATTGGCTCCACAAGCAGAATAAACTTGAATGTCCCCGTTCCTTCAAAGTGCCTTTGTACAAATTAGAAAAGGCGCCCCCTCTTCTGGATGTCAACCTTCCCTGCTGGCCGGAAACGAGCCATCCACTGGTGTCCATGGCTGGACAGCACGTGGACTCCCCCATTGCCATCCTGTCAGCCAGGCAGCTTCCTCTCGCGGGACTGTCAGGAGCTCAGCCCTAAGTTGCAGAGACACTCTGAGCAAGTCACTTCCCTCCCCTGGCTCCAGTTGTTCTCATCTACAAAATGAAAGCATCATATTCAGTCTTTGAGAGCACATCTGTTTCACCCGTGCGCTATTCCAATGACTTGCAGTTGGATTGAGAAGAATTCTGAAGTTCAGCAGGAAGAAGTGCTGGGATGGATTAGTGATGTCTGCCCCGGGCAAGAGAAGGGGAAGCTGCAGCCCACGTGCTGCGTGGCTCCCAGTCTGGGACCCCATGGTCTCTAAGTACCTTCCTGCTCTAATAATCTCTGAGGACCAGCAGAGTTAAGAGCATGGGCTCTGACAGATGGAAATTACAGTGCTGACTCAGCCCTAACAGTGTGGCCCTGAGCAGCTCTGAGTCTCAGTTTTCTCATCTATAAATGAGGATGGTGACAACTATCTCATTAGCATCACCATCATTATCAAACTGGTGTAAAGATGGGGCTAAACATATAGAACCTGGCACTAGGTCTCACATGTAGTTAGTGCTCACCGAATAGTAGTTAAGGGCAGAGTTGTCATTGCTGTGAGTCTAGTGGCCCTTTCACCAACCAGCCCAGCTCCAGGGTAGCTTGACTTATGACCAGACTCCAGCGTCCCCTCTTAGCATCTGCTTTAACCACTGCTCATGGGCCTTGGCCTTTGCCTAGCTGAACATCTCAGAGGCTCCTAGACCCATGAATTCTCATCTTATCACAAACATCCTCCCTAATGACTCCACCGTCTCTGCTGGAACGCTAACGGCACCCCCTCTGTAAAGCCCCACCTCCTTGTGGCCAGCATTTTCACCTCTCTAGGCCCTCTTGCATGTTGGATGGATGTCATTGACCTGGAGTGTAGGGGACTGTCCCAAGATCCTTTCTTTATTAACTCAGCAAATGTGCGCTGGTGCTAAGGACCCAGAACTTACCCGGTCCCCGACTTCAACAAGCTCTTGTCTGGTCATGGAAGCAAATGAGAAGTAATAATAATAAAATTAAAAACGATGGTGTTGATGGCATTGAAAATGTGCTGAGTGGTTGCGAAGAGCCGGGCCAATGCTGAGTGCATTTTATGCATTATCTCATTTAAGCCCGTACACAGATCTGGGTTCACATGCTGGCTTTGGCCACTTTCTAACTGTGTGACCCCAAGCTAGTCATGGCATTGCTAAACCTCAGTGTCCTCATCTGTACATGAGGTGATCATGGGCACTGCATCATAGGAGGATTCTGAGAACCAAACAAGATACATAACATACTTAGCACAGTGACCAAAAAAATAAAACACTGAATAACAATAATAGTTCATATTTACTGAATGGTTACTATCTTGCCACCTGTCCTTCTAAGTGCTTACACAACCAGCCTCTCCCCACTTTACAGATGAGGAAACTAAGCTGCAGAGAGGCGAGTCACTTCACCAGAGATCACAGACAGGAAGGCACTGCCAGGGCTCAAACCCAGGGAGTCTGGCCTCCGAGTCTGTGCTTACAGCTGCCTCTCCGCATGTCAGCTTCTTACTATGGTTGATTTGCATACCAACATTGAGGTATTATGCCCATTTTATAGATGAGAAACTAAGGGTCGGGCAGTCCACGGACTTGTCCAAGGTTACCTGTGAGTGTGTCCCGGCTGGTTGTCCAACTCGGCATGGGACAGGTGCTCTCCCAGAAGCAGGAACAGAGTCTGGGGATCCCAGGAGGCCTGGCAGGGTGGGGGGGCGTCAGGACCCCCAGAGCCAGGCTGACAACACTGCACGTGCTTTCTCCCCCAGCCGAGTACCAGACGAGCATCCAGGAGAAGCTGCCACTCATCATCGGCTCCTCGGCGGCCGGCCTGGTCTTCCTCATTGCTGTGGTTGTCATTGCCATTGTGTGCAACAGGTGGGTGGGTGTCCCCAGCCCCGTGCAGACCTGGCTGTCCATCTATTCAACCATTCCTGAACAGTGTCTGTGAGCCGAAGAGATATTCCCATCATTCCCAGGGCCAGGGAGAGGCCTGGGCAGGCCTGGATACTCTCCCACCTACTTGGCCACCATTAGCTCCAGTCCATCCCTTTGGGCTAGAGTTGCCTTGACAAGCCCACTGTTCATGGAGGTGGCGCATAGAGACACTAATACTTCAGCATGAAGGAATGCTCTTCTTCCTTAGATCAGACAGGGCCATAAGGTCAGATGGACAGAAGCCCTGGGATTTCTAGGGCCATGAGAGATGACTTTGAAAAGGGCTTGGCTGGAGAGGGGATGGGGCAATGGTGAGCCTGGATTTGAGGTGGGAGAGGTGGGAAGGGACGGGGGGGAGGGTAGTGGCCAGGAAGGGTGAGGCTGCTAGGCCAGGGGAAGGCAGGGAGCCCTCTGGCAGGGGTGTGGTTTTGAGGGCCTGCCCTCCCTCTCCCTATCACCCACTGTGGCTCCCAGCTCCCCGGGGCTTCCAGGTGGCTCCAGCCCTTTGCTCTTGTTCCAGAAGACGGGGGTTTGAGCGTGCTGACTCGGAGTACACGGACAAGCTGCAGCACTACACCAGTGGCCACAGTATGTATAGCCCAGCAGGGCCGGCACCCCTGGGCCCTTTGCTTGTCAGTTCCCCGGCCACCTCTCCAGCCTCCTTCCACTGCCTCCCATCTTGCTGCAGCCAGACTCAACGTCAAGCAGTTCCCTGAACAGGCCAAGCTCACTGTCCCCTCTTGGCTTCTGCACCTGCTGTCCCGTCTGCCTGGAGCATCGCCTGCCTTCTCTTTACCCACGTAACTCTGCCTCTCCCTCAGCCGCAGCATATACAAACCGCTCTGAGCAGCCTGCCCTGACCCCCGCCCCACCCTGGCTTTAGGGCCCCGTCTGTGCTTGCACAGTGCCCCCTTACCTGACTGCATCGTGATGGCCATGTCCCTGTCTCCCCAGCATTATGGTGGGAGCACCCAGAGACGTGAAAGTGACTCTGACACTCACCTGTGCCCCCGAACACCAGCACGCTGCCCAGCACTTAGCCGACACTAGATCCCTATTTACACAATAAATCCATGAGTTGCATGAGATGCTGAGGTCCCCAGGCTTTGGCCCGGGAGGTGGCAGGCCCTGTCGCTCCTCCTTGGTGACCCCTCTGGTAGCCACTGCCCCCCACCCAGTGCCTCCACTTCCCCCACTGCCCCATCCCATCCCGGACCAGGACTGGGGGCACAGGTGCTGCACACCCAGAGCGGACAGCCCCTCTCTAGGGGTCCGGCAGAGGCAGAAGCAGAGCATAGATTCCTCTCGATTTTACCCTGGCAGAACCGACTTGGGGCGGGTAGGGGGAGGGGGGCAGGGAGAACCTTCATCCTCTCTTCCACTCTCTCGGCAAAAGGGAATTCCAGATGGGTCCGATGCAGCTTCTCAAACTGTACTCAGTGGGGTACCCTGGGGCTTCTGAGATGCCACTGGGTAAGAGAGGCCATCAGCATAGCTCTTCACGTGTCACACAGTCTTTGTGACCTGCTGTGTATGCCAGGCACCTGCTTTAGCTAGCCGGGGATACACAAGTAAGCAACCCACATATCCCCACCCTTGAGGAACTTAGATTCTGGTGAGAGGGCCGGGGAACAAAAGGAATACAGGTAGTAAATGAGAAAAGCACATGGCGTGCTAGAAGATGAAAGCGCTACGGCAAAAGGCAAAGTAGAACAGGGTGATGGGCTGAGAACTGCAAGGTCAATAGAACTGCCTATTCAGATAGCACAGTTGGGGGTGGCCTCACTGAGAGGGTTTTAGTTGAGCAAAAACACGAACGAGCTGTGGGAATGAACTGCATGGACAGACCTGAGGGAAGAGCCTCCCAAGGCAGAAGGAAGAGCCAGTGCAAAGGCCCTGAGGCTGGAGTGTGCCTGGCAGGTTTCAGGAACAGCCAGGAGGCTAGTGTGACTGGAGCAGAGTGGGGAGGCAGGAGGGGCAGGTATGAGGGGCCCCAGCATGCAGGTCCTTGTCAGCCATGGCGGGGCCTCGGTTTTTATTCTGAGTGGAATGGGGGACCTCTAGAAGGTTCTGAACCAAAGACTGACACGGTCTGAGTTACAGTTTTGATAGGACTTCTCTGGCTGCTGTGTGGAGAATGGAGTGAAGGGGCTGCAGGACACCAGGCAGGACAGAAGCAGGGAGACCTGTGAGGTGGCTGTTGGAATCATCCAGAGAAGATTCTGGATTCTGACATGTTCTGAAAGTACTAGATTTGCTGCAGGATTGGATGTGGGGTGTGCAAGAAAGAGCAGAGTCGAGGAGTTCTAGATATCAAGCCTCTGGGTTAACAGTCAATTTGAAGTAAATGTTCCTGAGCTTAAAAAATCATTTTAGACATAAATGTAAAAAATAATTAAACCATTAAAATTTCCAGAAGACAATTTAGCTAAATATTTCACTGATATTCTAAACCTAAAAGCAATGGAAGCCTCGCAAGAAAAAGGCAGAACAATTTAACTACACCGAAATTAAAAATCACCCGTACATTAAAAGTAAAAGTCATAAATTACATCGCCCCCTCCAAATTCCCCAAGTAATGAAATCATGGTTATAGTTGGAGCCAACTGTACTGGGGGTGTTCTGTGTGCCCAGGACTGTTTTAATGCTTTACGTGCGTTTGTTCATTTTATCCTTATAATTATCCTTGTAATATAATTGAGTATGAGGGAACTGAGGCCCAGAGAGGTCACACAGCAGCTCAGGGCCAGAGCTGAGGTCCGCACTCCTCACCAAGCCGTGCTGTCCACATCCGACGAAGCTGGAATAAGGTGGGCTCACACGCTCTGTCACCTGGAGCCGTGTGGGAGCATCACTATTGAGCGTGTGAGTCACTAACAAGGAAACGGGGGGACAGCAGGGATTTATTTTTAAAACAGAGCCCAGGATTTGTTCACGGATCAACACATTCTAAAGCTCAAGCTCCTACTCCCTGCATCTAAGAAAGGGCCTTGGTTTTTTTCAAAGCACTACCAGCCCTGTGGTCCCACACCCACCAGCAACCCTGTGTGGCCGGGACAGAGGCGGAAGCTGAGGCCTGGAGATGTGTGTGGCTGGCTTGAAGTCACCCTCACCGGCTCATGTGTCCCGTCGTTCAGCAGGTGCTGAGTGAGGACCACGGTCTGTGGTACCTGGGTGTGGCCCGGAGGGACCAACCTGGTTTCTCATCCCTGCTCCACCGCTGGGCAGCTCTGCGACCTCGGGGAAGTCATTGAGCCTCTCTGAACCTTGGCATCTTTACATGGGAAGTAGCCAGAATGATGCTTCTTTCACAGAATTGTGAGGATTAAATGAATTAATGGAGGGCGCCTGGGTGGCTCAGTTGGTTAAGCGACTGCCTTCGGCTCAGGTCATGATCCTGGAGTCCCAGCATCGAGTCCCGCATCGGGCTCCCTGCTCAGCGGGGAGTCTGCTTCTCCCTCTGACCTTCCCCCCTCTTGTGCTCTCTCTCTCTCTCTCTCAAATAAATAAAATCTTGAAAAAAAATCTTTAAAAAAAATGAATTAATGGATATGAAAGTGCTTCCTAATAATATTTAATAGTAGCCAACTCTTCTCTATAGCAGGTAACAATTATTCAGTGTTTTCTATTTGCCAACTACTATACTAAGCCCTTTAAAAAGATTCTCATTTGATGCTTGCAGTTAAGTACCTAGACCAGCACCTTGTAGGTGCTGTTTATGAGCTCCATTGTAGATATGGAAAAAAGTGAAGCACAGAGAGGTTAAGTAATTTGCCCAAGGGCACACAGCAGTATCAGTACTGTGGTTGATCCTCAGTTCAAACTCATAAAGGAGCTTATTTATGATTATTAGTACTGGCAGATCCAGAATTCAAACCAGGTCTCTGAATGTGTGGTTCCTCCTGCCTCCTTCATCCTGAATTTCCCCTTTGGGTTCAGGACAGCAGGTAGCGGCCCTGACAGTCATAAGTCACCCAAACAACAGCCCAGTATTTTCTGAAGACTCTGACTCCAGAGATCCTCATCCAGCTTCATTGCAGCAAATACCTGTCCTGGCAGCCGGGCCTTGAGCAAGGCTCGGCCGCAAGGAGCTCCCCTTCCATTCTGGGGTACAGGATGGGGAAGCATCCAGAAGAAAGCAGTAGCCTGGCAGTTGAAAGTGTAGACTCACAGCCACATGACCTGGATTCAAACCCCACATCTGCCACTTATCAGCTCTGTCCATGTCCCCCTGGCAGGTCATCTAAACTTTCTCATCCCAATGTCCTCATCCAAACAATGGGGATAATATTAGGTTGGGCCAAATGAAATTGCCCGTTTTGTAGGTCAGAAACAGTCAACTACTAACAATTTCATAAGGCTCAGGCTAATAATAGCATTTACCTGGTAGGGTTGTCAGGAGGGTTAATTGGATAGATACTTGTAAAGTACCTAGACCAGGACCCGCTACCTGGCAAATCCACACTGAATTGTGAGCAGATTGTGTTATTAATGATGAGATGAAACCAGAGGGTCATAGAAGCAGGGACAGCTCAGAGCCATACATTCAATAAGTGTTTATTAAGCATCCACTGAATACCACCTTCACATGTGTACTCCAGAGAAAACATTCTAGAGCAAGGGCTCATAACTTGGGGTTCACAGACCCCGAGAGCTTCACAGGCCCGTGAACATTCCAAAATTATATGCCAAATCTGGGAGTGTGACACACAGGTGAATAATTTTTCAAGGAGCCGATTCATAGCTTCTGTCAGATTCTCAAAGGTATTCATGATCCCAAACAGGCAGAAAGAGAAAAAGAGGAAATTCCAGTAGGTAATGCTATTACTCTTTCAATAAGCATTTTGTGAGCACCCTGTGTGTGCCAGGGTCTGGGATTTAGCATGAACTAGACAGACGTGGCCTCCATCCCCCTGAGGGAGAGAGTGGAAAGCAAGTCCTCATAGGCAGCAGTGTTCCAGAAAGGGGTGGCAGGAGGCTGTGGGCATGCGTATCTGGGAGACTTAATACAAGATAGGAGGGCCATATAAGTGGGTTCAGAGACAGGGCTTCAGAGCCTAAAGAGAAAGCATGGATCTCCCCTGGAAGGATCCAGGCAAGCTTCACAGAGGAGGTGGCATTTGATCTGGACACAAAGAGGAAGAGAAGGGTATTGCAGGTGGAGGTAACCCCACAAACAAAACACAGAGGCAAGAAATTATAAGGTGTGTCTGGGACCTTTGGGTAAATAATTCTTTTTGCTGGCATACAGAGGGGCAGGGAGCTATAGTTGGGGCCCAACACAGAGAGCTTGGCATGCCAGGTGAAGGCACTTGCCTTAGTTCTGCAAGCAACAGAGAGCCCTCCTGGCCAAGGCTTGGGTCTGATCGGTTGCCAGTGCCCAAGTTAGCTTTGAGTTCCTGCTGCACTTCTCCTTAGCTCCCGGGGCTGACCTATTCCTATCCTCCCTCTGCAGCTGGCCTGACAGAAAGGGTTTCCCTCAATCCTGTTGGAGGGAGGCTGAAAGTCAGTCACTAAGAACCACAGAGCAGGCACTGAGTTTGAGGGAGAAAAGGAGCATCTCCGAGGAACTGATGTCCCCGCTCTGAGGAGCGCTGAATGGGAAAGGAGTCATGGCTGAACAGTCCAGGAGGAGGAGGCCTGGGCCAGACCTGGTTGGATTACATGCAGGAGGCCATGAGCATGATGATTAAGAGTGTTGGCCCTAGGCTCAAGTCTGACAGACCCGGATTCAAGTCCTGGCTGTGCCATTTGCTAGCTGTGTGGCCATGGGCAGATGACTTAGGCTTTCCGAGCTGCAGTTCCTTCATGCATGAAATGAGAATAATGATTCCCTTCCTCTAAGAGTTGTTGCGTACAGATGAGATAATGCATATAAAGAGCCTGACCCAGTGTTGGGCACAGGGTTCGGTCAGTGGTAGCTGCAGTCATTCTTCTTTTATCTCTGTCACCTGGATTCTTCTCAGCTCTATAGACATTGAGTGTATATTGCGTGCAGAGCGTTGTTCGAGCCCCACGTTGCGGGTGGAGATTACTTGAAAATAAAATCTTTTAAATAAATAAATAAAATGAAGGGCTAGACAAACACGCACACAAATAATCCAAAATAAAGCTAATGTATTAGAGCAGCAGTTGACAGACTTTTCTGTAAAGGACCACAGAGTAAATATTTTAAGTTCTGACGGCCATACGGTCTCTGTTGTATCTATTCAACTTAGTCGCTGGAGTGTGAAAGCATCCACAGGCAAAGAAATGCATGCAGCTGTGTTCCGATAAAACTTTATTTATGAAATGGTCAGTGGGCCAGTTTGTCAACCCATGTGTTAGAGGTTCCAACTTTAGATTCTTGGAATGTCTGAAATAGACACTGAGAGTGGTCAAACTAACATGTCCAAGGTCATACAGCTGAGCAGGGTTGATGGCCCCACTCACCAGCCAGTCGAGCCTTACTATGGCCCAGGAATTCCAACTCCCTACTCCTAGAGCTACTGCCTCCAAAGTCATGGCTCCTGGAGCAATGGGAGAATGTGGGCAAGTTGCTGGGGAAGCCAGAGGGAGGCCTGGGCAGCAGAAGACCAGTTATATGGGAGGGAGAATGTGGGATGGATCATCCTTCCCTTCCTTCCAAGTGTTTTGCTGGCTCAGTGGTAGGGTCAGAATTAGGTGTTCGGCATCCAAGTTACATCCTTAATTTCTGCATCAAATAAAAAAGTACATCGAATCAAGAGTCAAATTAATAGGCCACATGTCCAGCCTCACACTGATCACCAGGGAATTTGAGATCTAGAAAGGTTTAAGACCTAGCTAGTGAGGGACCTGGGAAGTGAACCCAGAAACCATGGGTCCTCAGACCCTGGTGAGTGGGCAGCCCTCCAGGCTCTGGGGCCTGCCTGGGAGAGCTGAGACAGCCAGGAACTTTCCTAAAGGGAGAGGATGCTTAAATTGGGCCTTAAAAGAAAGGGAGGTCTCCTTAGCAGACTCCCAACAACATGGGCTATTGCCTGCTCTTTCTGTATTTTTGCTCCAAATCCCTCTCTTCCTTCTTGACTTCCTCTTCCTTTACTTTGCACCCCCTGATTCTCTAACACAAGAGTGACAACCCTATCTATCCTTTTATGCCCGTACCCTTAACAGACATTGCTAACCAATCCTGACAGTCCTTTAGCTCCTTTAGGAAGACATTACTAATCAGTTAGAGTTGGAACAAGAGCTAGAGCCTATTTGTTCTCTCTGCTGAGCTCTCTGTTCTCCTCACCCTTCTACTCAGCTCAATGCCCATCTGCTCACTGAGGCCCAGAGAGGTCAAGTGACCTGCACAGGGTTGCCCGGTTCTTTTGGGCCACATGGGAGTGTATTTCCCTCCACAAAGGGACTAGGTCTAGCCTTTCCATCTGTCCACATCTTGAGTCTGTGCATGTGACCAAGCCTGATCTTATCCCCCAGTGACCCCAGGCATGAAGATCTACATCGACCCTTTCACCTATGAGGACCCCAATGAGGCAGTGCGGGAGTTTGCCAAGGAAATTGACATCTCCTGTGTCAAAATTGAGCAGGTGATTGGAGCAGGTAGGTGGCTGGTGCTCTCCCAGGTACCATGGCCTCAGCCATGAGTGGGGAGTACTCTTGGGGCAGAGCATAGGATGCGGGGCAGGAACCTCAGAGGATCCTCCAAGACCTGAAGGTTCAGAATACCCAAGGTAGAAAAGTCCTCAAAGACATACAGTAAAATCACCTCATCGACATATGAGGAAACTGAGGCATGGGGCTGGGAAGGAGCTTGCATATCATGTCAGAGATTGAACTAGGTCTAGAACCCCATTCTCTGGACTCAGTCTAGTGCTTTGTTCTTCCTACCATTCATCCAGGTCCCTCTCTCCATCTCCCCGGCCTCCCCTACAGCCTTATCCCATGCCCAGCCAAATACCATGGGACAGCTGTGAAATGTTTACTCTTACTCCTAGTGGTGGCTAGGACCTTTCTGGGTCCCCACATTCTACAAAGGGGTTCTTTGTCTAAGACGATGAGTTGACCACTGGGGAGAAAAAGCTCCTTCAGGACCCAGGAGTGGAGGCTACAAGGAGTGGGAGATGGCACTTCCACCTGGCAAGTGACATCCTGCCTCTCTTGGTGTGTGTGTCCTAGGGGAGTTCGGCGAGGTATGCAGTGGCCACCTAAAACTACCAGGCAAGAGAGAGATCTTTGTAGCCATCAAGACACTCAAGTCAGGCTATACTGAGAAGCAGCGCCGGGACTTCCTAAGCGAGGCCTCCATCATGGGCCAGTTTGACCACCCCAACGTCATCCACCTGGAGGGTGTTGTCACCAAGAGCACGCCTGTGATGATCATCACTGAGTTCATGGAGAACGGCTCCCTGGACTCCTTCCTCCGGGTAGGAGAAGCCAAGAGTGCCAGGGGCCCATGGATGGGGAGGAAAAGGAGCGGTGGACATAGCTTCATGGCGTCAAAGCCTGATGGGGTCTTGAGAAAGATCTAAGTCACGAATGGCTTGCATGCTGCCTCTTTCCATTCCCTTCCCCGTGGCAGGCATTGCTAATCAAGCCCAGAACTCTGTCCCACAAAATCAGGAAGCCATCTCAGAATCCTTTTCAATCTAGGAAACCACAACCAGTCAGTCAGAGTTGGCATACAACCTGAAATCTGTTACCATCTATGCTCTTAGCCAGCTTTCTCATTATGCACAAGAGAAAAGTGAGGCTCCAAGACAGGTAGAGTTTGCCCAGGCTTACCTAGAGGGTCAAAGTGAGAGCCAGGACTGGAACCAGATCTCTTGAACCCTGGCCCAGGGTTTTCACCAGATTTTGGATTTCCCCAAAGCTCTATGTGCTGGGGGGATGGAGTCCGGAGCACAAGGTCAAGAGAGGAAAGTTTCCGGACCCTCCCAGATCACAGTCAACCAGCTGGACAAAGAGCACAGAAGCATGCTGCTAGACTAGTTGCCATTTAACAAACATTTACCAAGCATCTGGTATATGCCAGCCACCTTCCATGCACCTTCTTATTTAACTCAGACAGCCCTGGGAGGTGGGTACAACTTATCCCCATTTCACTCACAGATGGAGAAACAGACTCAAGAAGTCAGATCGCTTATCCAAGGTTGCACGGCCAGCAAAGGGTAGAGCCAGCGTCAGACCAGCTATGTCTACTCCAAAGCCCATGTTCTTTCCACCACCCTGAAATTGACCTCTCCTGGGCCTCTCTAAGCCTCCACCCCCTGCAAGCATCTGAATCCTTCCCACAGCGAGCACGAGGCCAGGGTGGCAGGGTCCTGCTCTGGTTTTCCATTGTGTGGATGATCCAGAGCTCTGATTCATGCCCTTCCATTTACTGTATGTTTTCTCCACCTCTCCCAAAGCAAAATGATGGGCAGTTCACAGTCATCCAGCTGGTGGGCATGCTGCGGGGCATCGCAGCCGGCATGAAGTACCTGGCAGACATGAACTACGTCCACCGCGACCTGGCCGCTCGCAACATCCTCGTCAACAGCAACCTGGTCTGCAAGGTGTCTGACTTTGGGCTCTCACGCTTTCTGGAGGATGATACCTCGGACCCCACCTACACCAGTGCACTGGTAAGATGGAAGCAGAGAACAGTGGGGCCGCAGCACCAGGCGAGAGGGCATAGATGTCCATCTCTCCCTACAATACGTTTTCACCGACACCTACTCATGCCAAGCACCGTGCTGTGCGCTGGAGACAGAGACACAAACCACAGTCTCTACCCCCTTGGAGCTCATAGGCTGTCTGGGGACACAGATGTGCAGAGAAACATGGACTAACAGAGCTATAAGTCAGGACTCCTGTCTTGGGAGGCCCCTACTAAGAGGGGTTGACATCTGAGCTGAAAGCTGAAGGGCCAGTGAAAGGTTGTCAGATGTTCTCAAGGCAAGATGTGACTAGAACACAGACTGTAAGCGGGAAGGCGGTGGGCAGTAACTCGAGAGAGGCAAGCAGGGCTGATCTTGGAGTCCCTGATGCCTAAGCTCAGGACTCTCTCCTGCTTAAGAGTTTTGTTGTTTTTTTTTTTAAGATTTTATTTATTTATTTATTTATTTATTTGAGAGAGAGAGAGGAAAACAGCATGAGAGGAGATAGGGTCAGAGGGAGAAGCAGGCTCCCCGCTGAGCCGGGAGCCCGATGCGGGACTCGATCCCAGGACTCCGGGATCATGACCTGAGCCGAAGGCAGTCGCTTAACCAACTGAGCCACCCAGGCGCCCCGTCCTGCCTAAGAGTTTTAAACAGAAAGGAATACGACACAGCCCCTGCCCAAAGAGCTCAGAAATAGTACAAGAAGAGCCAAGCATACAGGCAAATGATTTGAGTATTGCTCTCTAGAAGTGCCTCCTTGATGGAGAGAGATGGGACGCAGTTGTAGGATTAAAAAGAGTGAGCAACTTTTGGGGACTTAGGGAAAGATTTTCAGAGATACTTAAAGGATTAGAAGAGGTTTCCAGATGGCAGAGTGAGAAAAGGCATTTCATGCAGGGGGGAGCAGCATGTGCAAATTCCCAAGGCCTGAAGCAGCATGGTGAGTTCGAGAAAGAATGAGGTGCTTCGTGGGATTGATACAGCACAGGACATATAGGATGAAGAGTAGTACTGAGAGTAGAGGCCGGACGGGTCAGCCTCCCACCCATTAACCCTCCTCATTCTGTTCCCCAGGGTGGGAAGATCCCCATCCGCTGGACGGCCCCGGAAGCCATCCAGTACCGGAAGTTCACTTCAGCCAGTGATGTGTGGAGCTATGGTATCGTCATGTGGGAGGTGATGTCCTACGGGGAACGACCCTACTGGGACATGACCAACCAGGACGTAAGTTTCCAAGGGGGCTGGGTCCAGCCCAATGCTGGCTGATTGGAATGTCTGCACAGGATCTTGGACTCTCCAGGGGTCAAGAGTAGGAAAGGCCTACATATCCACAATTCAGCAAATCTTCAAGATGCATTCACCTGGTGGCCAAACCTGAATGAGACCGTATCTGCCCCTGAGGTGTTTTCCACATAACTGGGGGGCAAGACAATTATTCCAGGAATCAGTTGTTGTCATCAGGAACTTTACAATCAGGTGCTAAATTGGAGAAAGCTGGTGTCGAGTCCTGTAGGTGTTGTGGCAAGGGCCACGTGAGCAAGATCAGTCAGGAAGTCTTCCCAGGACAGGGGGAACACACACAGCAGTAGGACTTGGAGACATGAGGGCTTCGAATGGGCAGAATAGCTGTGCAAATGCCCAGAGGTGGGATGCTAAGTGATCATGCTAGGGAGCAGTAGAAACATGGTCAGAAAGGATGATAAGGTTCAGTAATGGGGCATTTGAAAGCCAACCCAACAAATTTTGATTTGCAGTGACACAGAACAGGAAGGACTTGAAGAAGCTTCTTGAGCAGGGAGGGTGAGCCACAGTCCAGCTGGGGAAAGTGAATCTGGGCCTAGTGGCAGGACAGATTAGAGAGAGGCTCCTTTTCCTGACAGAGGAGCCAGGTGGGGCCCTGTGCAGCCATGCTGAGGGGCCTGACCTGAGAGACATCTCTCACCTGGAGCAGTAAATGGCACTGAAAATAAGAGTTGTTGTCACCCTGGGGAGAAGGGCCAGAGAGAGGAGTCCTCAGGGCCATCAAAGCCAGGAGGAGGCTCAGAAAAGGGAGGGGAAAAGTGGTCCACAGGAGGGTCAGCCTGGTAGACCCTGAGGCAAAAGTTATCTCAGGGTGCTGGTTTTCCCAAGATTGGGAGAGGGGGCCAGCACACAGCCCCCAGGTCAGACTGAGGCCATAGATGGTGGGAACCCAGGTGAGGCCCATCCCTGGGGCTGCATCCAGGAGGCGGAGGCAGTTGCCATGGCAACCAAATAGGTCTGTCCTGTGCTATGGAGGGCGGGGGAATGGGTCAGGTCAGAGGCAGATGCTCTTTAATCCACCCGCCCCACCCCACTCTGGCCCTGTGTCATTCCCAGGTAATCAATGCCATCGAGCAGGACTATCGGCTGCCGCCCCCCATGGACTGCCCAAGCGCCCTGCACCAGCTCATGCTGGACTGCTGGCAGAAGGACCGCAACCACCGGCCTAAGTTTGGCCAGATCGTCAACACGCTGGACAAGATGATCCGAAACCCCAACAGCCTCAAAGCCATGGCACCCCTCTCCTCTGGGTATGGCTCTGGTCTGGCCCCACTCCCTCCTACCAGTACATCTCCGCCCCATCCCCAGCCGGCCCTTCCTCTCTCCAAATCCCCCCCACCCCCCTGCCCCCTGCCCAGGCTCCCCCTGCTTGAGGCAGGGCTCTGCACTACAGCTTGGGGTCAGGGAAGATCTGCCTTGGGGTGCAGAGGAGTCCAGGACACAGAAGAGGAGAAGGAAGTGGTAGAGATGGTAAAGGAAGCACTTTTTAAAGCATGGTCAGAGAGGACAGCATTTAAAGAAAAATTACCAGAATCTTGGTTGGTAAACAGATTGACTGGTCACCGGGTTTCCTGCCTGGCTGCCGTCACACTCAAACCTGGACCCTCTAACTTAACATTTGCCTCTTCCTCAACACAGCCATGCACGTGCATGCTCACGCACACACATAGGCATGCTTACACAAATACAGTCCTACACATCATTAGGCACAAAAGCTCATGCTTATGCTCCCATACACACAATTGCACACACATGGATATGCACCCCTTCTCAGGCCCTCACGCCTACACTACCGAGGCACCCAAGCCCACACGTGTTCAGAAGTACATACCACACATAAACACGCACTCAGACCCACGCTCAGTCTCCATCCCCAACTCAAAGAGACTGGCCCAGCTGGACCAGCGTTGGCTCCAGCGATGCTGAGGCCTGCCCTCCCCCAGTGGTCCCCGGGCATGCTCCTTCAGACCTGGGGCCACCACTGCCTTGCTTGGGTGGCTGTCCCCGACCCCTGTCCCTCCTGGCCCTGCACACTCTTTCTCTTTGGGACCCTATCAGAGTTTCTGAGGGGTGTCCAGCCAGAGGTCCTCGGGGTCCAGTGTTGGCTTGGTCCAGAGACTCGTTGGGCCCAAGTCCTTCACCTGCCAAGTTTTTGTGGCCCACAGTTTATGTTTGCCTCTACGTGTCACTCCCCACCATGACCCTGCATCAGCCACTCCTGACTCTCCGGATAAAATCACTCTGAGCTTTTAGCCCTGTGAGGGTCATTTCATTCCTGGCCAGCTCCCGTGAGCACCGCCAGCCTTGTGTAGACTTTGGAGGAGCAATCCACAGCTTCCTAGAGCACACCCAGGGTGGAGAAGCATGGAGGAAGCAGCAAACTGTAGCACACTTAGTCCGGCTACTAATTGACATCTCCTGTGTCAAAATTGAGCAGGTGAATTTTGGTAGTTCAGCAGGCTGAACTACCTCCTCCTGACAATCAGAGGCTCGGAGAAGCATCTCACTCCTCACCACTGTGTCCAGCCTCCCAGCAGCCCCTTCAGAGGCATCCCCGGGCTCTCCAGGTGGCCTCAGCATTGAGTCCTGCACACACACTCACGCTCACATACTCATGCACATACGTGTGCTCACCGATAAAGGTGCAAACGCACACCCACTCTCACCCAGAAATACATACATACACACTCACCTTTGTCCACGTGGATGGATACGCACGTGTAGGTACAAAGCTGCAGTGGCGCCCATGCTTACCCTCGCCCCTCTCCCAGCACCTGCCCTAACCATCTCTGTTGCCCACCCCCGCCTCCAGAATCAACCTGCCGCTGCTGGACCGCACCATCCCCGACTACACCAGCTTTAACACGGTGGACGAGTGGCTGGAGGCCATCAAGATGGGGCAGTACAAGGAGAGCTTCGCCAATGCCGGCTTCACCTCCTTCGACGTTGTGTCACAGATGATGATGGAGTAAGTGCCCAGCTGCCTCCACCCACCGTTACCAGTACTCCTCCCCAGCCATCCCACCAAGCAGGGGGCTCTGGAGGGCGAGGAACAGGTAGTGTCCCAGCAGGGGTGTGTGGGACCAAGGAGCGAGATGGCCAACTTCAGAGTCACATTCAGATCGATACCCAGGTCTGCCTGTGGCCAAGGGCGAATCAGAACCTCCCCGAGCCCCAGTTATCTTCTGTAAACCGGAGGTTGTTAGGAAGACCGAAGGGATATAAAGTGAGTGGGTACTTCATAAATGCAAGTTCCCTTCTCCTTCCCTGGAGTAGAGGAGGCCCCGTGCCCCTGAGTGTCCTGACTCCCATTCTCATGTTCCTTCTGTCTCCACTAGTCACTCCAACGCTGGGAATCCACCCACTCACCCCCTCCTTTGCTCTCTTCAGCAGGAAACCCCTGGAGAAGCCCAGGCAGCTCTCCACCTGGCCCCAAGTCCCCCACCACACCCACATTTCCCTAACACACATGCTTCTCTCCCAAAGGGACATTCTCCGGGTTGGGGTCACCTTGGCTGGCCACCAGAAAAAAATCCTGAACAGTATCCAGGTGATGCGGGCACAGATGAACCAGATCCAGTCTGTGGAGGTTTGACGTTCACCTGCCTCGGCTCACCTCTTCCTCCAGGCCCCCCGCCCCCTCCGCCCCACACGCCGGCCCCCTGGTTCTCCGTTCACGTCCACCGCAGGCTCAGCCACCTGCCAGGAGGCCACGGGCAGCAGGAAGAACCAAGCAGCGCTCCAGCCATGAGATGTCACCAGGAATATGTGCAACTCAGATGATGGAAAAAAGGGAACGGGGACAAAAGCAAACACATCCTGGGAGGGGGCGGGAAATACAAGGAATATTTTTTAAAGAGGATTCTCATAAGGAAAGCGATCATTGTTCTTAGGGGGGAAAAAAAAGGGCTTGGGAGATCCACGCGATTTGTCCCAATCGGAGACCAAAAGCAGTTTCTCTCCAACTCCCTCTGGGAAGGCGACCTGGCCAGAGCCAAGAAACAATTTCAGGAAAACCAATGTGAAGGGGGAGACAGGGGCCACCCTTCTCTCCCGTCCCTGGGCTGCTCTTCCAGGCCTCACCCAGCAGCCACATGCCAGGCAGACGGGGCAGGCGGGCGGACGGGCAGCCACCACGGGAGCCATTCCCGCGGCCGCTGGGCAAACCGGAGAATTTCTGTCTTTGGAGACTATTTCAGAAACTCCGATGAAAAAGACTCGTTTCTCCTGTCAGCTCATGGGGCTGAAAGGGGGCTTTTGTCCTCCTCAGTCAGGGAGACCGTGGGGACACCGGAAAGGTCAGCCTTCCTGAGGATGACCAGCCCCCCCAAGACTGCAGCGCCACATCCCTGTCGCACACGTGTGGTGCCCGGCAGCCCCCGCCTGGAGGCCTGTCGCAGGGTGACTGCCATCAGCTATGACTGCCACTGAGAAGGATTGCTCCTGCATTTGGGTTTGTTTACAGCAATTCGTGGACTCGGGGGTATTTTGGTCAGGGGTGGATTTGGTTTGGGGGGTTTGTTTGTTGGGGTTTTTTTTTATGACAATGAAGTGACACTTTGACATTTCCTACCTTTTGAGGACTTGATCCTTCTCCCAGAAGAAGGTGCTTTCTGCTTACTGACTTAGGCAATACACCAAGGGCGAAATTTTATATGCACATTTCTGGATTTTTTATATGGTTTTCATTGACACTCTTCCCTCCTCCCCCTGCAGAGAGATTCCCCGCCCCCCCCCCCACTGCCAGGCCTCACCAAATCCAACTGCCACAGGGCCCATCTGGGCCATTCAGAGACTGAGTGAGGTTTGGGAGGATGAGGGGCCAGGGTGGAGGAGCCCCCAACCCAGGACTGCTTTTGAAAGCACCAGATTGAGAAGGAAGCAGGCCCTAGGGCTGCAGAACCACACACCTTGTCCCTTCTCCACCCTCCTTGCCCAGTGCTTCCCAGGCAAATAGGCCCCCTTGGAGTTTCCCGAGTGCCCTCAGATGGCCAGAACCCAGTTTCGCCTCTGGGAGCCTAAGCCAGGCTCTGGATCATTCACTGTGATAGCCCAGCCCTGCAGAGTGTCACCCTCAGAGACATGCGCAGACGCTCCTTTCCTCTACCAGGGGAAAGTGTATGGTTTCTCTCCGACCCCTTTCCCCCCCACCCCCCACAACTTTGCCCAAGTCTCAAGGTCTTAGCCCCAGGGCGGGGGGGAGGGGCAGGAATCCATCAGCCGTGGGGTCTGGCCACACACTCCCTCCTATGAGCAAACAAGCAGGCATGTGAGCAGAACAATCGGTTAGTGACCTGAATGGAAATAAACACTTTAGTTATAAAATGACCCCTGTTCTCTGTAAGTTCCAAGAGAGACCCCGGCACCCTGGGCCATGTCCAGTGACCCATGGTGCTCTTCTAAGGGACCCTTCCTTCCTCGGGGTTCTAGAAGGCCCGGGGCTGAGAAAACACATGGAGGACACCAAAGGTCCACGTGGCCTTTCTGGCTCTGGCTTGTCAAAAGCACAGGCAACAAAAGAAGCAAGTTGAAAGTGGCTCAGAATTCAGCGTCCGATGCCCTGCAAAGCAGGGGGATCCTCTACGGGAGCCATCGGGAGCAGGGAGTTGACAGGGGTGCACTCTTGCTCTCCCGGGCCAGAGGAAGGGGGGGGTCGGGGTGTTATGTAAGCTGTGATAGTGGCAGTGTGAGGGTCCTGGAGCACCCATGGACCCCACCCCCCACCCCCCGAGACCAAGCCACAGGTAAGATCACCTTATCCTGGTCAACGCTAATCTCTGTAAATGGGCTCCTACTCACATGTAATCAGAAATCTTTGTGTGGAAGGAGGAGGTGGGGGGGGGATGTGCTGTGGATATCAAGTCTAGCCAGGGAGGGAGAGGCAGAGACTCCACATCTCAGGACCTTCCCCCTTTGTCCATGGATACTGACCCGTGGGAAGTATCCTGGCCGCAGGTGGCCCGTGGCGCAGCCTGAACCAGCCTGTCGTCTGTCACTCACCTGTTCTCCAGAACCCAAGATGGAAAGGGAAGGAAGGGATTAAGAGGGGAGCAGGGGCCCCTGGGGGGAACAGCAGAGTGAGCCACAGGGAAGGCATTGGCTGGCTGCCCACAAACTGGCCAGCCTTGGCCCAGCCAGCCGCCCTTTGTGCCCCAAAGCTGCCCAGCACGGGTGGCAGCTGTCCCAGCACACAAGGTCACCTTCTGGAGGGAGCTGCCCTGATGCTCCTCAGATTAACTCCATCTCCCCAGCCCACCCCCCACTACTCTGGGGCCCCACAGGGGGGCTGGCACTCGGTGCTTGCTGTCAGATGGCTTCCTGTCCTAAGCTGCTAGGCTGGTGTCTGCTAGCCAGCTTGTTTGCCCATCCACCCTTGAGGGCCGAGTCCTCAGTGGGCCTGGGCCCCCATGTGCCTGCTTCTTGGAGTGAGGGTGCTACCCAGACCCTCTGTGTCCCCACTTCAGGGTTAACAGATACCACTGTGACTATCTCAGGTGCGGGCGGATGCCCACCTCTCCCTGCTGCCGGGGCAGCCCCCACCACTGCTCAGCGGGGAGGGGCAGGCCATGCTGCCAAGCGCCTTCCACTGACGCAGCCCACTCGCCTGGGCACACAGCTCTGAGCCTCCCGCTGCCTGGTTACTAATCCTTTCCTGGCTCAACCTCCCCAAGTGCCAGCCCCCACCTGCCCAGCAGTGTCAGAGGACTTTCCGGCTGCTCTGCACACAGTTGGTACTGGGGGAAAGAAAGCTGCCTTGTAAACAGGGGCCAGGGCACCATGGAAATAGGGACCAGCTGCTCTCAGGGGGTGTGACAAGCAGATTTGTGGAGGGCCAGGCTGGTATTCCTACTGCCCACGAAGCCCCCCAGATGGGGTTATTGTTAATCAGCAGGGCTCTTCCTGGGGAATCATGTTCAAAATCTCTATCACCTGGTAAGATGTGGACAGATCTATCAGAATAGAGGATGGTCTTAGTGCTATAGACCAAGAAGCCTCGGAGTAGGGGCTGGGTGGCAAGGGCAGTTGGGGACGCTTAAGGGACTGGGGCAGTGCTGTTTACTAACCAGCGGTGCCTCCTGCTCAGATGGCATCAGCTGGACTTTCCCCGTCATTTCTGATTGGTCCTCATGCTGCCACCTCTCAGGGAGCTCTCTGCCACCCCATTGTGTGCAGTCACTAGCCTTGCACCCTCTCTGATCAGGGGCTCATCCCAGAAGACTGGCAGCTCCTGTGCTTGCCCAGCAGCCCTTCCCCTGCCTGGCTGAAGCCCAGAAAGGACCCAGGGCCCAGGCCACACACACACCCCCACCCCGCCCCAGTGCTAGGCCCTCAGGCTCTCCTGGCTCTCTCCCGGGTTCCTGTGGTTCCGAGACTGTACTAAAGGCTGGAAGATTCTTGCCAGAGAGAATAATGTAAATGCATTCAAAGGACAGGCTGCCCCATGATGCTAGGGAAGATGCATCCTGACCCCAGAGTGGCAGTCTAGCTCCTGTCACTAACTTGAGACATGGATCTGGGTAAGTCATTTGCCCTCACTGAGCCCCCATCTCCCATTTGTGAAATGAGAAAATTGGACTGGGTGCACCAGGCATGCAAAACACTTTGTACATCACCGCCCTGTGAGGAGGGACTATTTCGTCCCATGGGTAGGGGGGAAACTGAGGCTCAGAGAGGGGAAGTAGGTTGCTCAGGATTGCACAGCCAGGAAGGGGCAGAGCAGGGCTGTGTTCATCTGTTCCCAATGCCCACTCCACCACACTCGATTAGATGACATAAGGCACGCGGTGTCTGATGCTGGCTGGTAAACGAAGAGAGAGCTCAAATGGGCTGGGGTCGTCAGGGAGGGCTTCATGGAGGAGGCCGTCTTGAAAATGACAGAAACAGAGAGTGGTCATTCCAGGTGGGAAGTACAATGTAACCAAAGATACGGAGGCCAGAATGGTCCAACCATGAGGAGTCATGTGTGGATGAGCCAAAGGAGTGGTGGGGAGTGGGGGTTGATTTAAGAGGAGGGTAAGGTAGCTTGAACGTGATGCCCAGGCTAGCTACAGCCAGTTCTTGAGCAGAAGAGCAGCGGCAGAAGGAGCAGTGGGTCCTAGAAGGAACAGTCAGTTCAGCCATCAGATGGGGGCAGGATGCCTCACATCTCCCCCTCTCCTCCTGGAGGAAGAGCCCCCTGGAAAAGCCCTCATTTATTCCAGGAGAACCCAAGCCCTGCCGCTTCACTTTCCACCCTCACTCACTGAGGCAGATAATCCAAAGAGTCATTTCAGCTGCTTGCAGCAGCAGGGCTGGACTTGTGCTGATTCTTAATTCAGCTGTGTCCAATTGAGGCTCACCCCATTTCTGCCAGGCCTCACTAAGAGCCGCCTGGCATGACCCGAGTTGAGTGGGTGTGGATGGCGGTGGTGGCATGGGAAGGCAGGCCGGTGATCATGGCGGAGCCCTGGGGGCACAGAGCAGAGCGCAGGGGTGAGCAGGGCCTAGGGGTTGGATGGGTGGCATGTACACTGCTCAGGAAGCCCATCTCTGCTCTGGGAGGCCTGGCCCTGCTGAGATTACCCAGACATGGTAGAAGGGTCTGTCTGGGGTCCTGCTGTTTTCAACAGTGTGTTATGCTGAGGCAACCCAAGGGGAGGTTAGGGAGCCACACTACGCATGCCTAGACCACTTGCTGGCCTTGACCCAGCCTCCCGTGAAATGGCTCCTGCCATAACCCTTGGCATGAAGAGTGGCCTTGGAGCTGGCCAGTTTCCCCTTCAGGGAAACCAAAGACAGTGACTTGGCCTCTGCTCTGTGACACAGGAAGGCTCAGGGACGCTGCCGTGGGAGGCTCGCCTCAGGAGCTTGATGCCACAGACATTGCACTAATTGCTGGCCTATAGGCCAGACCCCACATGTGGGGCTCTAACCAGCGTTATCAGCCCCTCTCCTCTAGTAAGGAAACAGATTCCCAGAGGTGATTCCCAGAGCATTCCAACCAAGCCATCTGCCTTTAGGGTTCCCTCCTTCCTGCCTCATGGGATCTCTCAACATGTCTGTCATGGCCCACCTGTGTTAGAGTCTCCTGGGCCGTTCATCTTGCGGATTCCTGGGTTGCACCATGATTCCCTGAGTCAGAATCCCCGAGGCCAGCCCCAGGGGCATCTACCTTTAACAAACTCCTCCAGGAGATTCCTCCAGACACGGAAATCTCTTCACTTCTCCCATGACAACCTGTGCCCTGATGTCTGCTGGGAGGGAGGGTCTGGCGTAGACAGGGATTAGCAAAAAGCAAGACATCGTCAGATAAGATGCCCGAACTCAGACATGGATTAGGACCCAAGAAGTGGGGGCTGGGCTGGGCTGACCCTCAGGAATGTGTTCAGACTGAGCTAAGCTTTCAGGAAAATTAGAAAGACGCCCCCCCCGCCCCCCGCCAGACCCGGAGTCTCTCTGAGTTTAGCTTCACAGCATGAAAGCTGCCTCGGGAAAGCCGATACAGTAAGAAGAAACAGAAACTTAATACTTCACAGGGGCCCAGCATCCCACCCAGAGCCACCCTATGGAGACCCCACAGCTCCCAAGGCTACAATCCAGGCCTGTTCACTCAATACCTGGCCAGGTGGGCCAGGCGAAGTCAGGGTGGGTCTTCCAGCTGGGCCTGGAGCGTCCTATACGCCGCACCCCACAAGCTCTGCTGCCCAGACCCAGACATGGCTTTCCCAGGAGGGAGAGGAGCCAGCGAAGGACCCTGCCTCTACTCAGGGCCTCCCAGCCCCTGCTGGAGGAGGAGGATGGGAGAGGGAGGAAGTCAGAGCCAGGACACGCACTCTGGGGGCCTAGCTGAGGCTGCAAGAATCCAGTCTAACACTCCACGGAGGAAAGACCCCAAGATTTTAAGATTGCAAGCTCTATAATTGTAAGATTCTAACAGAAGGATTTCACATTTTTCAGATTCCATCACCATATGATTCTAGACTGATAGTTCTTAAAACTTCAAGTCCCATGGCCCATCACGGGTCCCTAAAGCTGAGGGCCCTAGAGCTGATGGAGCACAAAGAGAGTGAAAGACGGCGAGAAAAACAGCTAAAATCAAATACTAGCACAGTTCCATTCTTTGAGTCAGATATGGACCCTAGCAAGGGCCCAGGACCGCTCCTCTTGGGTGTGATGCTGAATTTCTGTCCCGGGTAGGTGGCAGAAATGCCCACACCTGGCCCTCCGGGTTTCCAGCGGGGCCAGTGTTCCAGCCGAGCGAAGCCTGCACGTGGGCCACAGTGCCTACTAGCTGGGGGGCACGACAGTCCAGCTCAGAAGCCAAGTGGGGGCCCCAGTGGCTCCATTTG